ATCAATGTGGCCTGGCTTTGTGGCTCTTGGGTCTTGGAACCCTGTGAGATCTGGGTGGCACAGGGCTGAGGGCAGGAGCAGGTGGGGAAGGGGGACTCCCCAGCTCCAGGTGAACAGTCTGCTCTCCCTTTCCTTAGTGCTTGCTCGGAAGAGTGGATGGGTCCCTCCATCACCCACCTGGGACCGATAATGGGCTCATGGTGGCAAGGACACAGTTCCCTGCTGTGTGTCCTGAGTCAGTAGCCCTTGGGACCTCCTAGGGGTGTCCTGGAAGCTCTCTCCTCTACTAGGTGAGGTCCCCACCCCAAGTAGAAGAAAGTGCAAGATGTTGACTGTCCAGTGAAGAAAACAAACAAGGGAGGAAGAAACTGACATCGAATCGCCACATGCTGTGGACAGGTGAGCGGTCCCTGGGCGCCACTACTAACCTAAGGGTTGGTGGTGGGGACCCACCCAGCAGAGCCTGGGAAATGTGCTTCCATGAAGACGAAGCCAAGACAAGCCAACGGAGCACAGCTCCCCAAACACGTGGGGTCGCTGGGAGCCGGGATCAACACCATGGCAGCAGGCTTTTGGTTTGGTGGACAGATGTGTGTAATGTAATCTACCCCTTAGTGGGTACAACATTTCTGGTTTATAGATGAGGAAAGTGAGTCTTGGAGAGGTGGAGCAACTCGCCTGGGTGGTCAGAGACCTGGTGGAAGAGCAACGTGCCCCAGAGGACGTTTCAAGATAAGGTACAGGATGGGCAGTAGTGGGGGGACCCACCGACTCTTCTAGCCAGGCAGGAGCGAGGTCTTGGGAGAGGGTGGGGACCAGGTGCGGAGAGCTGCCAGTGTCAGAGGAACAAGGGACTCAGGGGTCTCCACAGTTTCAAGCCTCCAGAGGCTCAGACTCTCGTCACGTTTGTGGGTGAGCTGGGTGTCGTGAAGCCTGACATTTGGTGCGCGGCGGTGGGCGTGAGCAGCCTGCCCTCCGCGCTGTGGTGGATGGTGGTGGGTGTGAGAGTCTGGCACTTGCTATTTTGGGGCCCACCCTGTGTCCACTGACCTGCCTCATGCAGTGTTCCAAAACCACGCATCTAGGGGCTTGGCCATGGTAAAAGCCACCCCCGGGCTTGGCCACAGTCTCTTGTTTGTGCAGAGGGAGAGGTCTGACAGCCCTGAGGAGGAGGCATGAAACTTAAGGACACAAGTGGAGACACGTGCTGGCGTGCCACCATCCCATGCCCACTGTGGCCCTGGACATCACTGCTCCCAGCTCAGCCATCAGCTTCTCCCCAACAGCTGGAGAGCTCTGGGCCGCCACTGGTTGTCAGTCCTGGTCTGTGGGGCCCTGGTGCGGGTGAGGGAGCCTGTCTTGCACCCAGCCAGCTGGTGGGGGTCCCTGTTACTGTATTCCAGCCAGCACCGTTTCAGAGCTCAGTGCCTTGGGCTTTCTCGTGCCTGGTTCCGGGCAGGCTTCCCGGAACGATCTGGCACGATTCTGCTCCCTGCCAGACTCTGCACTCGCTTCGCAGTCCACACCCGCTTGGAACTGGACGACCTTCACTTGTCTCCCCGCTTCGACTCCTCAGTCCCTGCTGCCTGTCATCTCTTTCGCCCAGACTAGGCTCCTCCACCCACCCACCTGCCCACCACAGCCAGCAGCTGCAGCCCTGCCCTGCTGGAAAAGCCCTTAAAGGGGGTGAACTCTCAGACTGGGTATTGGCTTTGGCTGGGTTGGCTTTATTGCCTGGGAGCTGAGGCTAAAACCAAACCAAAAACCAAACTCACTGCCATCCAGTTGATTTCAACTCACAGCGACCGCCTTTGGGTTTCCGAGGTGGTAAATTTTGACGGAAGTAGGTTGCCCAGTCTTCCTTCCACAGAGTGGCAGGTGGGTTTGAACTGCCAATCTTCTGGTTAGCACTCAAATGCCTTAGGCATTATCCCACCAGAGCTCCTTAGGGAGCTGAGGCCAGGAGCCCCCAAATCTCTGCCTTTCACTCCCCAGTGTCTGTGCAGAGGAAGTGAGCCTTGCTTGCTTCTGGGAGACGTGAGAGCATTTGAGGGCTTTGAACCCCTCCCATCAAAGGAGCTGCAGGTTGAAGGGCTAGGGCATTGACATCTCTGGCTGGTACTGAAATGACAGTGCTGCAGTGTACCATCTGTGGTCTCTGTGGATGTCACCACAGTCAGATCTGACTCTCAAGGAATGAGGAGGAGATGACTAATTCCGTCTGTACCTGGTCTAGGTGTTTGGAGGGCAGGACCGTTGTCTGGGGTCCTCAGGCCATAGTAAAGACCCTGATGAGGACGAGGATGGGTCCTTAGCAATAGTTACAGTTGACAGCTAGAAGAGTGCCTTATAGTCAGCATCACAGTGAGGTGATTAGGTAACCGTGGAAAGGCTCCTCACTTTCCCAAGAGCCCTTGTAAACAGGAGAAGCCTGATGATAAGGAAAGGGGTTGGGGAAGACTGGACCATGGCCCCCAGTCCTCCTCCTTCCTGCTGTAGAGCTCTATGTTCACACCTTCATCATGGGCTCTTCAACACATTGCACTAAGGAGGAGGAATGTATTTGCTTGCCCTCCTGATGTTTGCTTGGTTTGCTTTGGCCAACGCAATGTGCACGGAAGTGCCAGTTCTGATCTGAAGGCCTGAAGAACATTGTGGTTTCCTGCTTGCTCCTCTTGGGCCCTGCGAGCCTCTGTGAGAAGAGATGACCCACAGAGCTGCTGGCCCTCAGCCTGGACCATGAATGAAGATACGAGGAACAGCGAGTGCAGGAC